TATAAACAAAGGCAAAACTATCACCTGGATTAATCCATAGTGCACCAATTGGTTAGTCTACTTCTCCAAGAACAAAGTTCTCTAGCATACCAATTTACATTTAGAAAATCACCCACTTGGTGAAATTAAAAGAAATCTTACTGTCATATATAGCTTCTTCCCATACAATTTTACATCCATTTTAGCACTTACCTAATCCTCTTGGAGAGCTCTTTGAAATCTCTATCTTGACAGATGCTGAGTTCTTGAAGTCATGTCTATTGTTCCTACCCAGTGCTGGTCCTGATTGTCAGGGATCTCAAAGCAAAGGTCTAGGATTCACTTCCATTGGAATCATCTGGAGGATGGGTCAAAATGCAGATTTCTGGACCCCACCTCCCAACAGTTGGAATTAGCATATTTTTAAGGATTTCTAACAGCTCTAAGAGAGCCTTCAAAATGCATCAAGGAGAAATGAATCCAAAAGGCATAACCACCTAAGAGCTACGGGCTGGTATTTCTTCTACTTATGCTATTGTTTGGAAACTACTGCCATAAAATTGGTTGAATAAAGAAGAAAATGTCACCCCGGGTAAACCTCTATTTTATAAACAGAAACAACTTATGACTATTTTACCTTAGAGTATTCTGGCAGTGCGTAGCTCATATATTTTTACTGAATCAAAACACTTAATTTTGGGATTTTAAAACTAAGAGACCTTAGAGATTATATCTCATATGAAATACATTGAGAAAAAAAAAATTCCAAAATGTATTAAAAACATAAAGGCCAGGGCACCTGGGTGGCCCAGTCAGGTAAGCGTCTGCTTTCAGCTCAGGTAATGATACCAGGGTCCTGGGATTGAGCCCCATGTCTGGGTCCCGGCTCAGCAGGGAGTCTACTACTCCCTCTCCTCCTGCCCCTCCCCCATCCGGTGCGAGCACGCACCCTCTCTAATAAAAAATCTTTAAAAATAAGGAAAAAAAAGACCTAGACATTTACTTGTGTTATCCCTGAATCATTTATTTAAATAAAACTAAAAAGTCAAACATTTAAAACCCCAAATATTTTTTTCATAAAAACATTCATCATTTTTTTCATGAAAAGGTTATTTTAAGGAGTTATATTTTAAATATTATAAATTATGCCTCTATAATCACTCTTTGATCAATACATAAACATCTGTACAATCTATAAGTAGAAATACAGTAAAGTTTTAAAAATATGTTATAATTTTACAAATTAATAAATTTCCAAAATTCAATCTCAAAAACATTTTAAAGTATATGCTATGATTTTTACAAAGGACAGAAGCTTTTTTTCCTCCCAAAACATAGAATATTTTACCTGCATAGAGTCAATACCATTGTATGACACAAATAGTTCAAAATATAAAATATTTAAAACTATTAGAAAATTTATTTTCTTTTTGTTATGGCTTTAAAAAATATCTGTGGCTATACTTAAGTTTTATAGAAGCTTAACATCTCAAATTGAGATAAGGATGTCATATGCAATTTTCACCCTCCCCGCAGATAATAACCATGAATCTTTTCTTAGAACTAGGTTTTCAGGTAAGAGGTGGGGACAGGCTGTGCCATTTGTACACTTTGAAATCTTAGAAACATAACCATGACATGCGTAAGGACTGGTAATTACTCTGATGTCCCTTCCAATCTGTATCAAGAAGATAATAAATGTACATTTTACACAAAGCATTAGTTCTTGGGACTGTGAGCTGAACAGCATCTCCTATCTTTTTATTCACTCATAGTTTGGGTAGAACATCGAACGGTCCTTCTAACCCATTACTTCCACCAAAATAATAACAATGCTATCAGTATTCATATATTGCTAAATGTATCAGAGGGTGAAAGGGTCATTATATGATCGATCTTTTACATCTTTGGCAGATAACTGTGCCCTATTTAGAAGAACCATTATTTTGAAAACTCTTTTTGCAGATGACATTCATTTTGCAACTATGCTAGAGAGGCAATGGTAACTAAAGGATGCCAGGAAGGCTCTCTCTAGACTTGATGAAGGTCTAGCAATAACGTGGACCTAAAGAAAGTATGCTTCACTTGGAAAAAATCTCTATTTGTTAAAGATATGGGGGAAATACAGCAAAATAGTCATTTGGAAAAAATAAGTTGTTGTTTTTTTTTTTTTGGTCAGTGATGGCTTTTTTTTTTTTTTATAAACATATATATATATATATTTTTTTTTTCCCCCAGGGGTACAGGTCTGTGAATCTCCACGTTTACACACTTCACAGCACTCACCATAGCACATACCCTACCCAATGTCCATAACCCCCCCCAACCCCCCTCTGCCCAGCAACCCTCAGTTTGTTTTGTGAGATTAAGAGTCACTTATGATTTGTCTCCCTCCCAATCCCAACTTGTTTCATTTACTCTTCTCCTAAATAAGTTATTTTTAATTACCTGTTAACATTACAATATTGGATACAGCGGCCCCAAGTAGAGGTTAACTGATTAGTGCTTTTATAATTTAATTCTTAAAAAGTTTCACATCATGTAATTATATATTTTTGAAATATCACAGAAACCCAAAATATACCTATTTGGAATCATCAGAATGTGTATACTTGATCAGGAGCAAGTTATGTTCAAGGCCCCATTGAGCCCAAAGATTGGTCCCCACCTACATACTCTGCCGCAGAGAACACACAGTGTGCTCTTAGTGCCCCTGAAAAATGCAATTTTGGATGGAGGGAAATCAAAAATAAAACAGTCTTCCTCTACTGGGGGAAAAAAAACAAAATAACAAATAAAAATAATAACGAAATAAAACAACAGAGGCCTTCTGGAAATGTTTACTGGCATCAGTGAAATAGCATGTTTAATGAAAAAAAAAATAGACCTTGTAGCAGAAGGGTAGAAGGGTAGCCCACACTGTAGACAGTGACAGCTAAAATGAGATCTTGCTCTTTTTGTGCACCAAGAGTTACCGAATGGCAGGAAGTTCACAAACAGATATATTTTCAGGGAAGGGAACAAAATAATACAAAGAAACTGACCTTGTTATCAGCTTAGCAACAGAGGTGAGAGAGAAAGACATTTCAAGGAAAAACCTATTAGGAGTAAAGAACCTGTACCCAGCTGAAGCCCTGAATGATGATAACTACCATTTAACCCTAACAGACAAGCAGAGTTACCACTGTACGTGGACACTGGTACCTTACACATCGAGATTCTAGAAAAATCATGGTGAGCACAGCTCACTTTGTGAAAATGAGATTCCATAAATCACAGAGAATCAGTGTCAATCTTCCTGCATGCCCAAAAATGAAGGAGGAAGAAGACATTCATCAACAATAAACAAGGACTCTTCATTTCAAATCTAACATCTAGTGCCAGGAAATTTTTTTTTTGTTAAACTAAAGTGCTTCTATGGGTCTCAACTTTCTCATCTTCAGAAATATCAACTCTTTGGGTGTCCTCCTAAGAGATGTGGTATTAAGAATCAGTAGATATCTTAAAAATAGAAATTAAAATCAAAAATTAAAAATAATTTAAAAAAATAATTAATAGATATTTGGAGAGCTCCCAAAGAAATCCATGAAATGAATAACAACAAATCATAGCCTGAGTTGGGTCCCATTTTCAAATGATGGGCAAGTGCATTAAGACAATCCATGTTCTAACTCCTTTAGTTACACATTAATGACTAAAACAGGGTTTCTGTACAGGACTCAGATTAATGAGACAAAGAGTATCCGCTTCAAAGCATCAAACTTCTGTGAGAGAGGAGTGGATGTTAGCAAAAGTAAAGTTGCGCAGGAAAACAACAGTTACCGAAGCATTAACTCACCATGAAAAGGAAACTATTTCTGATTTCCTGGAATACAGCCCTCGTGGGTCATTATTTCTGATTACCATGGCAGCACACAACATTTTCCATCTAATACTTTAGAAAAATGCTTGGTCACACCATCCTCTGCCTTATTAAATGATCTGTGCTGAAACCATTCATTTCCATTCTCTGACAGCCATAAAACGTCACATAAGAGTGATAAGACAGTCATTTGCCCTCAATTTTCTCAATAATGTAAGGTTTTAGAGAAAGTATGTTAGAACTCTAAAATAATAGACTAATATATTTTCTCAATTCCTCCTGTCCTCCTTTTTTTCCACCGAGGGAAATCGATTTCTGATAGCATCTCCTCTAAAGTTTAGGGGGCTTAAAACGTTGCTCTTTCACCCCCAAAAAAAAAAAAAAAAAAAGTTCTCAAACAAGTTATTTTCTGAGTAAATACCTTTCAAAAGAAAAGTTCTACAAAGACTATAAAAAACTTCCCTGGAGTGCTTATGAAGCATAACATAAAAGTGGGTATGAGTGGAAAAAGAATGCTTTAAGAACTGCTTTAAAAAAAATCAAATTTAAGTGCTTTCTACCCTATCTGCCTTTTTCATCCTTCTTCCACACAAGCAAACACATACACAATATAATAGATTTTAACAAGTTTTTAAAAAGGAGCAATTACAAAGAACCAAAAAAATAAATAAGTAAAATCAGTCCTTGCTTTAAGAAGAAAGAAGGCCACAGATATCAAGAGGCTGTAGGAATCTTCCTCCCCTTACTCAGTGGATTAAAAAAACAAAAACAAAAACGCTTTCTAGACCCAGAGTGGGCATAATTCACACATCCTGAACACACCTAGATCAGGCTGGTATTAAAAAATGAAGATGCTCAGAGGCAAATCATACTCTAATCCCAATTTCCCTGCATTAAGATTTTTAAAAAGAGCTACAGAGCTATTGCAATCAGCTACTTGCATGTGGGTGGAAAAGAAAACACAGACATTTATGGGGAGCAAAATCCTCTCTAGAAATACTTCCTAAAACTTACTTTAAAAAGACTCTTGAATGAATATTAAAATTGATCATATTTTAGGTGATTTATTTTAAGCATACCACATCTGCAACCACATTAAAAGGTACCCAGAAACCAAAAGTGTATTTCAAAGAATGTATTCCATATACATCAGACCAGAGTCTATAACAGTGTCTAAAAATCAGACCTTATGGATATTTTTAAAAAGAATGTTCATTTCTCCAGAGACGGATCATCCACGTCATCGTCATTCTCGTTTCGCATCACCAATGACTCCCCAAACATCAAAGACAAATTCATCTGGGAACGCAAAGTCTCCAAGAGTTTCGTCAAATGCCTCAGCAAATTCATCTGGATTACCTTTGTCCTTTCCAGCTTCAAACATTGTGGTAGCTATCAAAAACAATTTTTAAAAATTAATGATACATGACACAGACCTGTACCCCTGGGGGGAAAAAAAAAATATATATATATATATGTTTATAAAAAATAAAATTATAAAAAAAAAATTAATGATACATGAGACAACATCAGAGAACTGAGAAAAATGGCACCAGAAAAATTACTTTCTCAGTGTAACATGCGTAGATCTATTTCTAGCACAAGTTATAACAGTAACATACTAACAACATACTAACAGTAACATACTAATATACTAACATCTGTCAGGGTAGCATTTAAACAGTCTGTCCACTGTACCCAGATTGGTCACCCCTGGCCTCTCCTCCACCTTGAAGCCCACCAGTCAAGAACTACTGGTATTCCACCAAAAAGGAAACCCTGTGGCTAACCCTGCCAGGAAAGTCAGGGTACATCACCCCTCTTCCATCTGCCCACAGTCACTAGCTCTCTCTGCCCCCTCTACCAGTACCCCACTGCCAACTATAATGGAACCTAGTACTCCCTGTTCCTCCAAAGAACAAAGACGAAGGATAACAGTTCGCAATGGGAAAACCAAGCTAGGGTGAAGAAGAAGGTATTGGTCTACTAATGGAATCAAGGTAACTTTTCCTGAGCCCCTTTCTAGTTTGAGATAGAAAGTGAATGTGGCATCTGTGTTCTGTTTTTCTAGTAAATTGCCTATGCCCGGTTCTTAATCTGGGGAACCAGCATCTTCAAGAGTACACATTCTCACAGGACCTGCTCCAACTGGCTGGGAGCCCATGAGGCTGAGCTGTTTTTTCTCAGCCCCTTATAAGCACCAGCAACTGGAAAGAGACAGTGTGGATGTGATTTAGGACTTGGATGAAGAAACTCCAGGTTAAAAAAAAAGAACAACAACCAAATCTCAGCATCTCTGTTCCTCCCAGGTTAAGGCTGAACAATTCAACACTTGTAAGATTTCTCTGAATGAACCAAGAGGTCTGGTCTTTCAGCTAAAATCCACTAGGGCTCTTAAGAGCATTTAAAAACTGTGCCTTGTCTCAAACAGCTCTGTACTAACACAGGCCAAAGGGAAAGGAGGAGATGTGGCCCAAAGAAATGACTGACAAATGGACAGAAGGAAGGAAGGAAGGTACGATCATGAAGAACAGGATATTTACATAGTTTCAAAGTATCTCTCCACCAAATACTTATTACGGAGAATAACTTTATAATGGAGACAATTAGCAAACACCACTTTGAGCCATCAACATGAACAATATCAGAAATAGAACAAACCAAATCCTATGCCTCCTGGCAAAATGTAATTGAAAAGAAGAGGGGATCACATTCGATATTTTTACAAGAGGTATGACATAAACATAATTCCAAAAAAAAAAAAAATCAGACAAGCCAGAATTGAGGAATATTCTATAAAATAACAACCTGTACCCTCCAAAAGCATCAAGATCATTAAAATTGAGAGTGGGAAACTGTTCCAAATTGATATAAATAATAAAAGTAACCTATGATTTTGAACATACTCTTCTGCTATAAGGGATGTTAATGTATTTAGTGAAACATAACACATGATTAATAGGGGATAGTAATTTATCAATGCTAATTTCATAATTCTTGCTTATACTGTGCTTAGCTAGGAGAATATATTTGTTCATGAGAAATATGCACTAAAGTATTTGGGGGCAATAAATATTGTTCATTTATTCCCATGTTCAAAGAGAAAAAAAGTCTTTGTGCTATATTTATAACCTTTTTCAATGTTTAAGATTGCCTTAAAAATACTTTTTTTTAAAAGATTTTATTTATTTATTTGACAGAGAGAGAGATCACAAGTAGGCAGAAAGGCAGTCAGAGAGAGAGGGGGAAGCAGGCTCCCCGCCGAACAGAGCCCAATGCAGGGCTCGATCTCAGGATGCTGAGATCATGACCTGAGCAAAGGCAGAGGCTTAACCCACTGAGCCCACCCAGGCACCCTGCCTTAAAAATACTTTTAAAAAGCAGTTATGAGTGAGGACGAATTGATTCCTTCTCATCATTATCCCTCTCTCTCTCTCTCTCTTACTCTGCCTCTGGCCTCAGCCCTGACCCAAAAGCTTTTGCATTTATTTTCAGTCTAAAAACAAATACTTCAAAGAGGAAGAAGACTTCAGTTCAGCTCCAGCCAAAACGTTTGGCCAAGTTTATTGCAACTTTTATATATGTTTTATATGGCATGCCAATGCTAGCCAGGATATAGTGAAGCAAACATTCAGATACATACAGGCTTGATTCGTAAACTTAGCTTGTGAAAAACAATTTGACAACAAGTACAATTAAAATCCTCAAAAATGTTCACATCCTAGGGGCACCTGGGTGGCTCAATTGGTTCAGCATCTGACTCTTGATTTCGGCTCAGGTCATGATCTCAGGGTCATGGCATCAAGTCCCTGAGACAGGCTCCATGCTCAGAGGGGGGTCTGCTTGAGATGCTTTCTCTCTCTCCCTCTGTCCCTCCCCACCCTATACTTGTTCTCTAAAATAATAAATAAATAGGGGCACCTGGGTGGCTCAGTCAGTTAAGCATCTGCCTTCAGCTTAGGTCATGATCTCAGGGTCCTGAGATCAAGCCCCACATCAGGCTCCCTGCTCAGTGGGAAGTCTGCTTCTCCCTCTCCCTCTGTCCCTGCTTGTGTGCTCTCAAATAAATATCTTAAAATTAAAAAAAAAAAAAAAAGAAGAAGAAGAAGAAGAAGAAACAACTCCCAACTCATCTTGAATAGCCTACTCAGTCTTTCATGCCCATCGGAACAAGTTCAATGTGTTATGAACTGAACGCGCTGGAAGATGCACAGGAGGCTGCTTTGTAATTATCTTTAAATAATTTTTGCTCTGACACAGTTAACGTATATTGGAGAAAGCAAAACCCAGAGGTCTGGTCCTGTAGCCAGGCTGTGGAAGAAGAGTAACCAAAACTTAAAGGTAAGTATTGCAAAAGCAGAACTCAAGTTCAGAATTTTGCTAAGTCTACCATTTTAAATATTTCCCATAGTCTCCACAGATAGCACTTATTGAGACAGTTACCTAAAGATTATACTAACATGTGGGTGATATACAGTCTAGCAGAGGAAGAAATAAGATGCACACAGAAGGTAAGAAAATCTACAGACTGTTCAGAAGCAAAAACTAACAGTGCAGAGGAATGATGCTCTTAAATGCTGGGGGGACACAAGGACCACAATCATATGTTCACTGATGGGCAATGAGTCAGCCAATCTCTCTCTCACACACATACACATACCTACTTGACTGTAAGAAATAACTTGGTACATGGCTGTTTGGTACCTCGGGAAGCTCAGCAGCATTGTCTAGTGCACTGAGCCCAGGAATGATATATTCTGGACCTTGCCTACTCTGACTTGCAATCTCTGGCTTGGGTTCCTTAGTTCCTCAGTTACAAAATGAGAAAAATGATGGTCTAAGAGGCCCATACCACAACCTCCAACCACAGTCCAAACTCTGTAATCTCACTCATGTGCTCATGCTGGCACAGCAGAAAAGTAAAACTTCCACATTAAACACAGTCCCAGAATTGGTCAGACCTCCAGGGATACAGTCCTACCTCTATTACCACTACCATTAGTACTAGCAATAATTATTAGAGATCAATGCTAAAAATAATAATAGCTGTACCTATTATTTATGATGTAACAGGAACTTTATACCTATTATTTAATTTAGTGTGTTGGAAACCCTGTAAGGTTTTTATTACACCTCTTTTACAAAGATGTGGAAATTAAGGTTTGAATTTAATAATGTGCCCAAAGGCTAAAGTTTCAAACTTAGGAAGTTAGGATTCATACTCCCAGTGAATTCACTATTTTTGTGCCTCTACACAGTCCGTCAATAAACATTTACCAAATATTTACTCTAGAAGTACTGTAGTAGGAGCTGAGATTAAAAGCAATACAGTATCTGCCCTCAAGGAACTAAAATATCAGTAGTTCCTTGGGACACTGTGTTACATATGTAGTTCTAACACCTTAATGAGGTGTTAGAGCAAGTAAAAGTAACAAAATACCAATTAGGCAGCTTCATTAAGGTGTTAGAAATACATATGTAACAAAGTGTCCCATAAATCTTTTAAAATACAGTAATTTGCTATATGAATTTTCAAAGAAATTAAGAATGGAGCATGCATTAAAACACGCACAAATTTTTCCTAATGAATAAAGTATAGGGGCGCCTGGGTGGCTCAGCGGATTAAAGTCTCTGCCTTCGGCTCAGGTCATGATCTCAGGGTCCTGGGATCCAGCCCCACATCGGGCTCTCTGCTCAGCAGTGAGCCTGCCTCCCCCCGCCCCCCGCCTACCTCTCTGACTACTTGTGATCTCTGTCAAATAAATAAATAAAACCTTTTTTAAAAAATAAAGTATAAACACATATTTTGAAAATTCTTAAAGGAGAAGTAAACTGGTATAATTTTATCTTTTTTTTATTAAAACTGTATCTTTAAGAGAAAAGCAAAATGAAGCTTTTAGCAAAAAAAAGCACTTTTTATTAAGTCATATCACATTAATATGACAACTACTAAAATACTTTTCACCTATAATGGATCTGCAATACACTGTAATAATATTTAAAACCTAAATGCAATCCAGGAAAAAAAAAAAAAATCCCCTGAAAGGATAGAATTGTTCTATCACATACAGCAACTAAGTGCTGACCTCTACTGGCCATTTTGAAAATACCTTTGTATCGTTCCCACAACTGAACTTCCATATCATTTATTAACAACAAATTTATTTTTGTGATATAGGGCAATCTATATTTCCCACTAAGTTTTTAAATACATAAACTGAACTTTTAAACATAAGATACTACTGCAGATGAAAAATCTTGGCATAAAAAAATTCCAGAATTGAATCTCAGCTTTTAATTTGTTAGCTGACTTTGGGCAAGTAACCAAACGTCTCTGAATCTGTTTTCAAATCTATAAAATGACACATAGCAGGATTGAATAAAGATTAGTCCTAAACACTGTTAACCATTAAATCTATAGTTGTACCTCCTATGGGAGGTCTTTATGAAAAGTCTGTGGGAAATAAGTGTTAAATAAGTGTTCCATTTCAAGGAACTCAGACAGGAATCAAACATTAAAAACATAACCAATGTTGATTACGGTTTTTTGTTAGTGAAAACCTATTTCCAAAATCATTGGCTTTACCTAAGATGGATGACTTTCTACAGTATTCACTGTTTTGAATTCACAGAAGAAAGGAAATCATCCTAAGAAGAAATATAACTAACTCTATTAAAATACCATTGTATTGGGGCGCCTGGGTGGCTCAGTGGGTTAAAGCCTCTGCCTTCGGCTCAGGTCATGATCCCAGAGTCCTGGGATCGAGCCCCGCATCGGGCTCTCTGCTCAGCAGGGAGCCTGCTTCCTCCTCTCCCTCTCTCTGCCTGCCTCTCTGCCTACTTGTGATCTCTGTCTGTCAAATAAATAACTAAATAAAATCTTTAAAAAAAAAAACAAACATTGTATTTTTTAAAGGAGCTAAAAAAGATTTTATAAGAAAAAATTACTTAGAATCTATCATTCAAATTTATTTTCCACACATTTCTGACCTCTTCATAAATTAGAAATCCTAAAATTCTGACATGGCTAGGGTGAGCTCCAAACTCCTAAACTGGTATCGTCAGGACATAGTATAGTTTGATATATAATTAACACAGTTGCCTTAAATATTCATAAGAAAACTTACAGGATACAACTTTTTCATTAAGTTACCTCAATCTCCTAAAATATGTTACAGGACTCAGAATCTTCCAGAATCCATTTTTCTCCCACCATGGATAACATTCCAAGGCCACATGTTGGCACTGGGTCAGTAGAAAAGTCAGTTCACAGCCTAGCTCTACAACCAAATAAAGTCCTGTCATGTGCAGGGTTACTTCCTAAACTCATTTCAATTACTTTCCATTTTCAAGTGGTAAATACATCCCAAAGCTTTGTGAAGATAGTGTTTTGGTTTTTGTCATTTTATTGCATATTACCTTTCTCACTTTTTAATGTAAATTTATATTAACAACTCTGGAATAACATGATGTGGCTACAATTTGCCTTAAGACTTAACATTTCTGACAGTTAAGATCACAGGACAAAAACAAGCAAATATATTCATTTCTCTATTGAATCAGGATCACATTTGTGATTTCTATTTCATGCTAATCAGATCTGAATAATGACAGAAATTCCTAATTTAACAATGATTGACATTCTTCAAATAATTACTTTCCTTAAACTTTACCTCCCTAGATGACTGATCACATTGCTAATCACGTATAATGATAATGACTTTCCATGTCATTGGAGGAACTTGCTACAGATGATTAACTTTACAATGGGATTACAAGTTAATTTACAAGGAATTTGTGAGGAATGTTTAGTGCCCTGAATTTATCAAAGTGAAATAAATGGATTCTTAAAGAATTGTTCCTTAATTCACCTAGAATTACTCCACTGTCCATTGTTCTTCCATGTATACTTATACATATATATTTTTTTTTAAGATCCTATTCATTTATTTAATTGACAGAGAGAAAGCAAGAGAAGAACACAAGCAGGGGAGGTGGGAGAGGGAGAAGCAGGCTTCCTGCTGAGCAAGGAGCCTGATGGGGACATATCCCAGGACCCTGGGGTCATGACCTGAGCCGAAGGCAGACCCTTAACAACGGAGCCACCCAGCCACCCTGTTGTATACGTATATAAATTTAATAACAAAAGAACAAAATTAATTTATTTAACTATTTCAATTTTATACTTAATTAACTATAAGGCCTATACCCAAAATTAAGATCTAAAGACTATTTTAAATTCTCCCCTTTGAAAAGTGTGGTTCTCCCAGCATGGAGGTTCCTCAAAAAGTTGAAAATAGAGCTACCCTATGACCCAGCAATTGCACTACTGGGTATTTACCCTAAAGATACAAATGTAGTGATCCGAAGGGGCCCGTGCACCTGAATGTTTATAGCAGCAATGTCCACAATAGCCAAACTATGGAAAGAACCTAGATGTCCATCAACAGATGAATGGATAAAGAAGAGGTGGTGTGTGTGTATAATGGAATACTATGCAGCCATCAAAAGAAATGAAATCTTGCCATTTGCGACGATGTGGATGGAACTAGAGGGTATTATGCTTAGCGAAATAAGTCAATTGGAGAAAGACAGCTATCATATGATCTCCCTGATATGAGGAAGTGGAGATGCAACGTGGGAGGGTTGAGGAGTAGGAAAAGAATAAATGCAAGATGGGATTGGGAGGGAGACAAACCGTAAGAGACTCTTAATCTCACAAAACAAACTGAGGGTTGCCGGGGGTGGGGGCGTTAGGGAGAGGATAGTGGGGTTATGGACATTAGCGAAGGTATGTGCTATGGTGAGTGCTGTGAAGTATGTAAACCTGGTGATTCACAGACCTGTACCCCTGGGGCTAATAATACATTGTATGTTAATAAAAAAATAAATTAATTAATTTTAAAAAAAGAAAAAAGTAAAGTGTGGTTCTCCTAAATCTGAGTTCATCAAAATCTAGCACTGATATGTTAGCTTCTGAATCTTGTAATATTCAATTATACTGTTAGAAAACTTCTCAACTAAATAGAGATATATATTATTTTTCCAACCCATACTGCCTATTCTGCGTTTAAGTGACTGCCATTGATCAATCCCCTTTGCTTTCATTTGCATAATTTTCATAGGCCCACCTCACTGATGCAAATCTGTGTCTTTCACACGCAAAAGGGTTGAGGAAAAGGTTTTACAGGAAAGTTTTAAGATGCTGTCTTGCTACAGGATAATCTCAGCTTTAACTTCTTGTCTGTGTGGAGCAAGTATCTATTATATACAAATTTTATACTTTGAATCAAGGAATTAGAAAAAAGAGCATCAATATTCCTTCAATTACAGACAGCGTCTGTATATCCACCATCGAAATTTTATTTTCAAAGTTCAGAAAGGCAAGAAAAATGTAAGAACAGACTCTGTAAGAAAAAAGTAAGAATGAATGGAAGTAGAAGTGGAATAATGAGTTTCAAATATTCTACCTGAGCCAGAGTAAAATTCCTCACACCTGGTAGCAGGGAAACAGAACAGTCCCAAGTGTTCGGCGTAAAAACATGGAGGAAGTACCTGGTCCACACAAACACACTCCCCGCACACAGGGTGCATGCAGACACGAAGCCCACCACAGGGCACCGTTACTGTTTCCCCACCCAGCATCCCTCTGCCCTTCTCAAGGGCACTTTCTTCTGGCTTCTACATGGGAGGGGCCAGGACCTTTCACCAGCTCAGGCCTAGGATTTCAGTCACTCTCAGCTCCAGAAGGAAAGCATCTGACCCAGACCTAAGCATCATCCCCACCACTACCACCTCAGTGAGCCCATCAGAGCAGTCAGGGTCAATCCTCAGCATTTTGTTTGAATGACTTGGAAAAGGCCCTCCCCCTTTCCCATCACGCTTGACACTAAGGTATAGAGGATGGAACCAGTGAAGGTGCCAACGGACACTAGCGAGCCTAAAATGCAGCCTAAATGGAAAGAAGGGAAGCCACATCCTGGTGATAGCATGAGAACTCTGGATCTAGGCATTCTGGAAGCGAGGATCTACCTCTGAAGTTTTCAGGTATAAGAACCAAAACATTTCCCCTCTTTTATCCTGTAAGTCAGTTGGAATTCAGTTTGTTGTTACTATTTTATTATCTGCAGTTGATAAATCAAGACCCTGATATCCTAAGGACGACATAAGAAATACCCATCAATTCAACTTCTCAACTGCCCTGATCAGTCTCACACCAGCTGAGTCCTTTCTCTTCCTCTTTCTGATTCATTGCTCACAGGCTCTCAGTAATCTATTAAGTGCACACAATAACATATGATTTAATCAATGTAGATCTGATGTATCAAATACATTCCATATGTGTCATTTACAAAATCTATTCATACGTAACTTTTAAATCCATAAAACAAGCCTTTGAAGGAAGGCTATTATCATAGTTTATAGTTTTCAGATTAAAAACTGAAGTTTAGAAAAGTTGATTTGACTTGCAACTAGTAAAAGGGTAAGGGCCAGGTCTTTATTCATTATTCTTTTATGTTTTATATCCTTATTTTCATTACATTTTTCTCATCACTTTCCAGTATTTACCTTGAAAAGTATCATTGAGTGTAAATGCAAGCAAAACAAAGAAGCACTAAATTCAATTAAGAAATGTAGAGACTTAAAAAATAGTATCATCTTACCTAAATTGGTATCTTGAATTCCCATGTACAATTCAAGAAGATCATCAATCTTTTCAATTGCTTTTGTCTTGGTTTCAGAGGGCTTTATCAAAGAGAAGAGAAATGAGATATTTTTACATGAAATCTCTTGAATGTCAAGGCTAAAGGTAAGGGAAATCTGATGAGGAGCCAGTTCATGGTTGTATACATCAGCTCATTTGGATGGAAACAGATCTACAGTGTGCTCTGTAGCTCAATACAAATCCATACAGCAAATACTTATTTTTACTCTTACCATTAAGTGTTATGGATTCAAAGAAGAAAAGCCAGAACAGAGTCTCCAAGTCTAGAAAGGGAGACAAATCTGTGAAAATAACTATGTAATAATAAGGAAAAGTTTTTCAAGGATGTAAGAGCCATCTCAGGCAAAGTAAATTTAAATATCTTAAGAGTCACAGAAGACTTGAGAAAGGGGACTTAAAAACTCTTTTCAAAGATACACTGGTGGAAGATAAGCAGGAGAGGGCGCTGCAAATAGAAGTATACAACAGGCATGCCTGGCTGGCTCAGCCAGTGGAGCATGTGACTCTTGATAGCAGGCTTGTGAGTTCAAGCCCCACAGTGGGTACAGAGATTACTTAAAAATAAAATCTTTAGGGGCACCTGGGTGGCTCAGTCATTAAGCGTCTGTCTTCAGCTCAGGTCATGATCCCAGGATCCTGGGTTTGAGCCCCACATCTGGCTCCCTGCTCAGTGGGAAGCTTGCTTCTCCCACACCCCCTGCTTCTGTTCCCTCTCTCGCTGTGTCTCTCCCTGTCAAATTAATAAATACAATCTTTAAATAAAATAAAATAAAATCCTTAAAAAAAAAAAAAAAAGTACTGCAATTGATATGCAATGTCTATGTGAGGTCACAGAGTCTGGTAAAGAGTATAGCCAGGGGGGCACCTGGGTGGCTCAGTGGGTTAAAGCCTCTGACTTCAGCTCAGGTCATGGTCTCAGGGTCCTGGGAGCAAGCCCCACATTGGGCTCTCTGCTCAGCGGGGAGCCTGCTTCCTCCTCTCTCTCTGCCTGCCTCTCTGACTACTTGTAATCTCTATCAAATAAATAAATAAAATCTTTAAAAAAAGAGAGAGAGAGAGAGAGAGTATAGCCAGACAGGACTAGATCTTAAGGGGTCTTGTGTGCCAGGAAAAGGGCTTTGGCCTTCATCTTACAGATGAAGGGTCTCCAAAGCTTTCAATGGCTTACCCCAAGGTGACTCAAAACTTCTGAATACATACTCTTATTATTTGTTTATTTAATTTTATTGTATTGTTGAAATCACTTTTATGCCCAAGATGGATCTGCGCTGTCCAAGGTGTCATGTTATCTATCTTTTTCGTCCCTGTAAATGCTCTGCTTAATCAGAAACACAGTATAATCCAGTTGGCCAATCTATAAACACAAGCAAGCTCTGGGAGTTCTCACCCCAGACAAGACCCACTATGTGGGCCCAACCAGTCAAATATTTTCTATTTTCCTCTCACTTGTTCTTTAATCTTTATCCTATCAAAGCTTCTTGCCTTCTACCCCATTTTGCAATTCTATGAGACTGTTCACATCATGAATAAAGTTTGTTTGTATCACATAAATTGTCTTCTTTAATGTTTCTTTTTAATTTTAATAACATTCTTTTGTATTTGTTTATTTTTTAAAGTAAGCTTTATGCCCAACATGGGGCTCGAACTCACAACCCCAAGATGAAGAGCAGCATGCTCTATGGACTGAGCCAGCCGGGCACGCCTTCTTAAATTGTTTTTTAACAGTATGTATCTTTCATAAACTATACATATTACTATATGATTGTAAACATTATAAAAAGACACAAAAAATAGAAATGTTATAAGGATGAAATGATGAAACAATCATTTTGTTATTGTTAAGATTTTATTTATTTGAAAGAGAGAGAGACAGCAAGCAGAGAGGCTGAGGGGGAGGTAAAGGGACAAGCAGACTCCTCACTGAGCATGGAGCCCAACGAAGGGCTTGATCTCATGACCCTGAGATCATGACCAGAGCTGAAATCAAGAGTCAGATACTCAACCAACTGAGCCACCCAGGCATCCCAACAGCAATTTTTAAGTAATTTTTGTGTATTAATGGTACCAAAATAATTGTGTTCTTCCTAAAACTATTACTAAAGGTTTCAGTGAAAAGCACGATTGGATGCATTTTATCATTCTTTGAAAATCTTAGTTTAATGCTGGCAAAGTCTGGTTCTACATTCAGTTTAATATTTGGTTTTAAATGGCTTCCTAGCTGAAAAAGAAATTACCCAAAGATGTGAAATAATCAACTACCAGTGCAAGTGCAGAATTCAAGATTAGCTTGTAAGAAATTCATAGTACTTTTAATACTGTTAAAAATATATGTTGCTTTGTGTTCTCCAAACTTATTAGAAATATGCATTTTATTATAAATGTCAATTTTTATTTCCTTGTGGATTTTATTACAATTTTCTCATGTTCTTATTTATATGAACTAAGCCTTAAAAACAGTAACAGATACGATATACCACTCTCGCCTTCTTTATGGTATATTTTGGATGTGCTGTATAAAGCAAATTGGTTATGCAAAGAAACTTGAATGTCCACCTTTGTATCCAACCAGCCATACTGTAAGTTTTCATAACAAACATCAGTACTTTGTATACACAATCAAACATCAATACGTTACCGTTTTACCTCCTAAATAGCTCTTGATCTCATCACCTCTTCTCCACTCACATTCTGATTGCCTGGGTTCAGCTCTCATTTTTTGGCATTTGCAGAAGTTTTCTAATTTTTCTCCCTGCCTGAAATCTTCACCCCCCTCAAATCTACCCTGCTTAACAATCCATCTGCTAGAAACAAGGGATTTTTCTAAAATGTAAAACTGGACATGTTCCTCTCCTCACAATTCTTAAATGGCTCCCCCATTTCCAAGACCTTTCCCATTCTGACCCAGGTCTCTCGCCCCCCACCAGGTCCCTCCACACTCCAATCCCATGGACCCTCACAAGGTTCCCCAAGCCCATCATTGTTTCAGGCCTAGAACATTCTTCTCCCCATCTTTAACCAACTCAATCATTTCTTCAGGATGGAAATTCCCCCACCTCTCTCTCTTCCCCCATCCCTGACAGCAGCTGATCGGCCCACCTCTGTGACATTAAACCTATTCCCTGGTTTTCAAAAGTTTCTTTCAACACCTCTTTCCCCTTAAAGGAGAAACAAGGTCTTTATTTAACTTTGTATCACCAGCACCTGGACTGTGTCTGTCTCAAGAAACACCTACTGAATAAATTTATGAGGTATGCAGGTGGAATTCTTCCACAGTTTTCAGGATTTGTGCTGGGTTATAAGAGGGTGACTTGTTTCGAATCTATAAATTCTTTAGATAAGCCATTTGCAAAAAATTAACATGAGTACCAAACTAGCCTTTTCCTTTTATGACGAGCTACTTTCAATTACCCTATTTAATGAAACATGCCATGCAAATAGGAATGGAGTTTTAGATGTTTATCTTTAAATGAATCTTTCCTACCTCCTCAGATAGATCTTCAGCTTCTCTTTCTCACCCCAGCACCTTATACATAGCAGGTGCTGTACACATATCAATTATACTAACTACTCAATGACCCTCCTTCTGAAGGAACATGGAGTTTTCCCCACAGCCTCTGCCTCCTCTTTAAGTGGTTTTAAGATCTGTCGTTTGTTCCTCGCAGCCTGGAATGGGAAGCAGTGGGCATTCTCCTGGCTCCCCCCGCCAGCTCCCTCTCACTGTTCTTCCATTCTCTTCCAGATTCCTTTCTTCTACGCAGGTTTATTCATTCACGCAGCAATATGCCTCAGAGTATGCAGGACACCAGGAAAGTAGAGACTCAGACTGGCCAGATGTCCCTGTCCTGAGTGTTTCACATACCTCTTCATATTTCATTTGCAAAATGCTTCTGGTCCTCCTAGGTCTCTTCCTTGCCTCCATGTCAATCCCTTCACTTACTACCCAGTACCCAGGAACCCAACTCAGAGTCTATCTCTGGAGTCTCCCCTGCTGAAACATCCTGGTTGACTCAAACATTCAAAAGCACAACCTCAGCTTCATGGTTCCTTGAGTGTCTGTTCCAACAAGCCACCCCCATGACTGACCCTGGATATCGTCACCCAACAAGCTCTGGGATCCTGCTCTGTGAAAATGGTCTCACTGTTCACGGGTCTCACTCTTTTGTTTTGTTTTTTTTTCTTATTTTCAAAAACATTGTTTTGTTTTTCAAAAACACAGGAGAATAGGAACACACAACTAGCCAGGTCTGGCATTGTACCCTCTGCCTGCAGGAACTCCCTAGCCTCAGACACAGGCCTGACGCCCCCTCTGCCTATAGGACAGCATCATCACCACTGTCTTCACTGGCTAAGCAGACCACCACTTGCCGCCTTGAGCCCTTACCCTGTCTCCCTTAACCCCTACTGTTTTCTCCTTCTACCTTTCCTCCCTCCGTTTCTCTATTCCCCTTTTGGCATTTTTCACTCAAAAACTGACTGAGTCAATCACAAAACTCTATTATTCTCAAGTTTAAATGCATCATTTATTAATTAATTCAACAAAGGTGTGAACTCCTTTGATATGTTGGGTACTGTTCTAGGTGCTGGGGTGACAGCAGTGAACAAGATGTGAGCAAAGGAACTAAACAGACAAGAAACAAAGGTACAATGTGTCCTACTGTGCTTAATGCTTTAAAGAAAATTAACAGTAAGCAAGATTGGGCAGGGGGAAGGGTGGCAGGAATTGCTAATTATGCAAGATACTCAAAGGCCTTTTAGATAAGGTGATATGTGGACAGAAACCTGAAGAAGTCAGTAGAGCCATGTCCCAAAATGGGCAAGGCATTCAGATAGAGGGAACAGCAGTACAGAGACCCTGAGTTGTGACGCATCCAAAGTATTTAGGGACAGCAAGGAGACCCATGTGGCTGAAGCAGCGTGAGCCAAGAGGAGAGTGGTGGGAAATGAGATCAGAAAAGAAATGCAGAGTCAGACCATGTTCGTCACTCTGAGAACTTTAGCTTTTATCTTGAGTGGCATGGGAAACCACTGGAGAGTGTGGACAAAAAAGTAACCACTTGTGTTTTTTAATTCTGGCTATTGTTCTGAGCACAGAGGGAAAGAGGGAAGGGTGAATGCAGGAAGACTGAATAAAGGTGACTGCAATATTCAGGACAAGATGTAGGTGCCCTGGGCCAGAGTGATGAGGGCAGAGATAGTGAGAAGTTGCTGGATTCTGGTCTATTGTGGAGGTGGACCCACCAGGGTTTGTTAATGAAAGGGACATGGAACATGAAAGAGAAGAGTCAAAGATGACTACAAAATGTTTTACCAGAGGAGACGGGAGTCGTGAGTATCTATCACTATCAAAATCTTAACTATGACTGCTACTACAGGTGGCCAAGAGAAAGTCTCCTCAGAGCATTTTGGTTAAGTTTTTGAGCCATTCCAGATGTTTACAGATTCTACCAAACATTTTCTGCAGGTAGCTGAAGATGGCTATACATCATAATTTCTTCTCTTGTATCTATTTTCTACATTTCCTTCTTAAATGCTTTCAGTAACTTTCACATTGTTTAGGTAGGCAATGAATTAAAGACCATACTTTAATAGGGTATATGGTATTTTGTTTAACTTTGTGGCTTTACCCTTATTTCCAGCTCTAATAAACATGAACATCCACACATTTCCAAGCAGAATGGGAATTAAATAAACATAACCTACCATGTCTTCGATGGAGGCAGGACCCTTTGATCTCAGGCGAAGTGTCTCTCTTCCAGTGCCAATTTTTTCTGATGATTTTCCAGCTTTTGACCTTGGCTCTACTTCTATAAACATACAATGGAGGAAGAAAGGTATGTATACTCAGTTTCAACAGATTGCTATAAAAACAAATGTAGTTTCTATCATAAAACTATATATACAATTAGAGATCTGATAGAAGGTATGCCTTCTTATATAATTTCCTAAACAAAGTAAATTCTCCTGCCATCATTCTTATATTCCACATACAGTCTAGCTACAAAAAGAAAAGGGAACGATTTGAAGTGTACAGTTGGGAAAGACTGGAAATTATAAGGAATAGAAAGTTAGCTTTATTATAAGATTAAAGGGGTGTAAAGGAACAGGAGAACAGTGGCAAATGTTCAGCCAGACTTCCTTAAGGTCATGAAGAAGGAAAAGTCATGTCTTGATAGAAGAGAGGGATGGAGGTGCCACTGTTTGAGTACCTACCTTCTGCATGACGTTCTATATACAAAATCCCATTTAATACTCCTATCAACCCAGGAGATAAATTATAGCCCTCCTTTTACTGAAAAGGAAATTGAACTCCATAAGAAGCAGAGCAGGGATTCAAATCCAGGTCTTGTGACACCAAAGTCTGTATTCTTTTCCCAGTGACACTCCAACACTGTCCCTCTTGCAACCACAGGGGACATATTCAGAGGTGTCATACTGAGAGAAGCAGGATTCTATAGAGGCTAGGACCAAGTTAGGAAGGAATTCCCCTCAGAAGGCAGGAGAAAGAACAGGAAGCAAAATATCCATGCAAAACCACTGCTTTCCTTAGGCCTGTTGTCTTTTATTTTTCTTTTGTTTTTCCTATGCACCAAGAGTCACCTCCTTCCCCAAGACCAAGTAGTAACATAAATGAGTGAAAGGCTAGGTAGGGTGGGGCCCGAGGATAACTCCAAGGTTCACGACCTTTCTAGGCCACTCCAATCATGCACTGCCCTGGGGAAACATAGGCCCTGCGTAACTGGAGGGACATGTATTCAAAGAAACTGGATACTCAGAGTTCTCTACGAATCTCGTCATTTCTAAGTTTTGTCAAATAAGTCAAACTTTTAAAAACAACATATTGGCAAAAGTAAAAGATCTGGGGATCCAATTCTGGCCACAGGCTACCAATTTATAACTTTGCAAATATCCCCCGAGTACTGAGAATGCTATGTGGTAGCAGTTTGGGACAAGGGACAGAAATGGGGGCAGGGAGAGGCCATACGAAGAACTGTAGATAATGGAGCACCAACAAGGAACTACAGGATGCGCTGGAACATGCAAGTAGATAGTGAGACAGATGTCTCAAGACAGACATCAAGTGGACCACAGAAATGTGTTCTAACGGACTTAGAACCTAGAATAATTCCGGCCCTCAGCAAGTACTGTTTTACTACTGGGAATCTACTCCTAAGCGATTAAGGATTTTACATATTAATTGTAACCTGCATTTGGGGAAACAATCACCAAAACATAAAACAAGTCTTCTTCTGAGAATGAAATTATTAAAATTATAAGAATTTCTATACAATTCATTATAAATGTACAAAAAAATTAAAATTTTTACTATAAAAAATTAACAAAAACGCAACAAAGAAAAACCTGTGAGTAACGGCTAAGGATGCTAATGCTAATTATGGTGCTCAGACAGTCTCCAGAGACTAAAGCTTTATTGGCAAGTCCACAGCATTTGCCCTGCCAGTCATACTATGCCCTGAGGGAAGAATGAGTTAATGGAAGCAAGATGCTCTGCACAGAGTTTCCAAAAGAGTGCCCAGAGGAAAAGATGAGGTCTGTCATCAGCACTGCCCAGCAACGTATTCCCAGCTCTGAGTCCCACATAGACCTAAAGTGCTCAAGACAGTCTCAGCTTGGGGTTAAGCGTCTGCATTCTGCTCAGGTCATAGTCCCATGGTCCTGGGATCAAGTCCTGCACTGGGCTCCCTGCCTCCTGCTGCTCTTGCCTGTGCGTGCACTCACACTCTCTTTCCTTCGATTAAATAAAATCTTAAGAAAAAAAAGGCAGTTTCAGCTTAACAATACTAACCTTCAAGATAAACAACCTTACACCCCCCACTCCCTCTATGACACACACACCACCGCGGTGACTTCACCAAGCAACCTACTTAGTGTAATCCATCTTCCCATACAAATTTCCTACAGGGTAGAAAATGAACTGCTCAGCTAACACCTGTGTTTTGGTCTCCCGCTACATACACATTTCTACTTGTAAAGTATTACACTAGCATTCTGACTTAACAAGTTTCTTAGAAGTTTAGTGAGCATGATATAACCCTGGAAAATTGAACACCTCTGGAAATAGTAAAAAAATAAAAGGTTTTTGAGATTTACAAAACTAAGCACCCAGCCTCTGGAATGTGGGAACTCTATCAAAGGACTGTCATCCATACTGGAGAAGTCAGCCAACCCCCCAGATGACGGCTCTGTCTTGCCTTGCTCTTACTTGCAACACCAGTAGCTAGAAGGGAAAATGTAGAATGGAAGATTTTTTTTAATAAGCTTTATTTTTTAAGGCAATTGTAGGTTCACAGCAAAACTTAAAGACAGATTTCCCATATACCTTCTGCCCCCACATATGTACAGCGTCCCCATTATGCCCGTCCACCAGCACAGGGGTACATTTGTTACGATCAACAGGCCTACGCTGACATCGTTACCGGAAGTCTGAGGTTTACGGTAGGCTTCACTCTTGGTGCTGTACATTCTGCGGGTTTGGGAAATGTCATGACCTAGATCCACCAAGACTGTAGCATCCAGAGTCGTTTCATTGTCCTAAAAATCCTATATGCTTCGCCGATTCACCCCAGCTTTTTTTTCAGTCATTATTTGTCAAACCATCCTTCTCCATTATAGAGTAGTTATCTCAAAATCAACCACTTGGTGGCACCAAAAGTTAAATTTTAAGTTCTGTCTTGGCCCAGGCTCCAGAAACCTGGCCTTCATAGCTGAGGAAACAGAAGCCATGCTTCTCTATGATCCTATGATTTAAGGATGTAAATCAACCAGTTTATACATGAAAACAGGCTAGATGGTCCTGTTCACCCACAGGGGAAAAAAAACAAGTTCTGGGGGCGCCTGGGTGGCTCAGTGGGTTAAAGCCTCTGCCTTGGGCTCAGGTCATGATCTCAGAGTCCTGGGATTGAGCCCCACATCGGGCTCTCTGCTCAGCAGGGAGCCTGCTTTCCCCTCTCTCTCTGCCTGCCTCTCTGCCTACTTGTGATCTCTCCCTGTCAAATAAATAAATAAAACTTAAAAAAAAAAAAGAAGAAGAAGAAGTTCTGTACCTCCGTGCTGAGTGTTTCGAAGGTTGTGAACGTTTCTCTCTCATCTGGCCTACTTTTGGGGTGCTGGCCTCAGCATGTCTAACCAACCAGGCCAAGCCCTAAATCAGTCCCTTCACTTTCCATGAACAAGTTTACCTGGGGCCTCTCCCGGGGCCGAGTGAGGAGAGGGATGAAGCTCATAAGGTAGACACTAGAAACCAGCCTGCAGCCGGCTAGAGTCACTAGACCCAGGGCTCCTCACTCGGCTGAAGCACACAGACTACCCGCCTGCTGGTCACGGAGGGCACAAAACACACAGCGTGTGGGACATGGCTGCTCCCACAGCTGAAGTGGATGGCACCAAGAAGCAGTCACATTTGTTCCCCAGCCCCTTTGGTGGAGACTGTATCTGTTACTCTAATTATGCAATTTAATTTAAAAGTACAGGCCCTGATGAAAAAAATGTGAACCAAAGAGTTATTATTGCTAGGAAAAGTAGGTTAACTGCTTTGGAAAGATTCCATGAGGCCAAGATAAAAAAAAAAAAAAAAAAAAATTAGGTGTGGGCAAGACAACACTAGATTACGAAAAATACCTTTAAACACTCAGCATTTCATATAACTAGTTTTTAAAAGTGAAACAGAACCCGCAGGCTTGCATTAAGGTTATAATTATAAAACTTCACAGAACTCCAATTTGTGTTCTCCACTCCAAGAAAGGGGCTTTTATATTAAAAAAAAAAAAAAACTAAAAGAATATATAGGTTTTAAAATAAGATGTTTATACACATTTGTATCATTCTTTATTATACTCCATTTTAAGTGGCATTTTCAAGGTAAAGTGGAGAAAATGGGAAGCAGAGAAGACAGAAAGAGGTCTGTCTCTAGTCCCACCCTGACCTCTAGAGAAATAAGAGGGGCTGACAGAAACTAAAGTCCCGTTTTCAGAAGGAGCACATACAACATGGCCTAGATCCCCAACTGACCCAGGGGGACACAGTGGGGAATAATTCTGCACAGAACGAGGTCTGTTCTGGTCCCATGAGGGCCCTAGCTGGGTATGGGTAGAATACGGATCATCACTTTCATAAGCAGGGACAGAGCCAGGATTTCAACAGGAGGTGGGCACAGGCAAACTCAGCTACATCCAACACTTGCTCAGGGAACAAGATGGACTTCAGAATCCGAAAATGTGAGTTTAAAACCCAGTTCTTCTGTTTACAAACTGTGTGAACTTGAAGAAGCCCTAATCTGGAAAATAAGAAAAACACCTAAATATGGTGTCGTTTTAAACATTCGCATGGCTAATGTATAAAATGTGCTCAGGCCAGTGGTCTGGTTCGTATTATAGAATGCTTCTGCTGATACATTTCAGTCTGGAGAGGAGAAATCTACTCTTCCCGATCTCCCTCCCCATTGGAAGTATTTGCACTGGTTTTCTAAGAATGTTCAGAAAAACGTCACTTCAAATACAGAGGTCTCTTTTTTATTCTATTTAATCTTTTCCATAAAACTATCCTTCCCCCCACCTTTACACCTCACAGGAGGGTGTAAACAGCACATGCCCATCCCACGGCTCCACTCAGATTCTCCAAAGTGGCTGAGGTTAGACCCGGCCCCTCATGGCGGCACTCTGTATGGAGCCCCTCCAGCGTCCATCCCATTGGTCATTTTCTCAGTATCCATCGGTTATTTGAGGATCACTGTGGTTCAGGGGAAGCTAACTGCTCCCAGCTTCAGGGATGGAAAACCTAATGGATTCCC